CCAAGCAATAAAAAAAAAAAAAAAGATGAATTTGAAGATAATTTTTTTCAAAATGAAAAATCATAATTAAACTCCACATTGTTTACTTTCTAAATTTGCATTATTATGTATTAACTGTCCAAAAGTAAAGGGAAGCATGCAGGAATAATAAATATGAAAATGTATATTTTAGGAGATTTTTAAATGACTAGATTAAACTTTATGTAATTATGTATTACATAATTGAGTATCACATAGTCCTTCCTTTATTCATCATTAATTTTTTGGAGTATGTACAGTTTCATTTTTACATTCAGTGCCAGGAATAAAAACTAAATTGTACATGGATTTTCCTAGACTCATTCAAAATATTAACCTTTGGATTTACTGTCAAATTTATTCCCTGGGGAACCTGCTTTACTTGATTGACAATTTTTTTTTCTTGTAGATATGAAAAACTAAAGTTTTAAATTAGTGAAGTATTTAATTAATACTACAAATGTCTATATATTGGCAGTATTAATTTCACATGCATTTAAAGTACCTCTCCATCTCAATAGCCTTTGTTCCTTAACACAATGGCCAGAAAGCCCCAAACAACTGATCTAAATCAGATTTAGATATCCTTTCATTTTCCCTTCTTTTGATTTTCTGCTAATTCTGATTTGGAAAAATCTGTTTGCAATTATTATTATTATTATTATTGGTTTTTTTGGTACAGGGGATTGAACTCGGGACCTTGCACTTGCAAAGCAGGCAGCGGAACCACTGAGCTAAATCCCCAGCCCCTTGCAATTATTTTTTTAAGAAGAAGAATTATATATCATTGTGTATCATCTTTCAATTAACATGCTAAAATATTTTATTGAAAAATGTGATTGTCATAAATTGTCATAAAAGGTAAACCTTTCAACTACTGTGTGATTACTTTCACCCTACATCTGATTAAGGTAAGACAAACATTTATAATTTGTCTAGAAAACAGGAAAGAACTTGAGTCTGTCAAAACTTGCAAGTTTCACCCCTAGTTTTAGTTAGATAATTTATTTTCATAAAGCGATGAACTAACACTGGATAAATAAATAATTAGATTGTCTTTTGTTAAGAAACTACACGTTAGCTATTGTGTATAAAATTACATGTTAAAATTGCCAGGCCATGTGATGCACATCTGTAATCCCAGCACTCAGGAGGCTGAGTCAGAAGGATTGCCTTGAGTTTAAGGCCAACCTGCACTACATAGCAAAACCCTGACTACAAAAAAAAAAAAAAAAAGTCCTCAGTGCAGGATGTAGCTCATTGGTGGTGCTGCCTGCCTTGCAAGCGCAAGGTCTTGATTTCGATCTCCGGTACAAAAAAAAAAAAAAAATCCTCTGAGTGGTTTGGTTTCATTTTCATATGCATCAAGATAGTTAATAATCAAGAATCATGAGTTTGCCTCAGGCAATTAAGTCTTGTAACAGTTAATTAACTTCTAGGAAAGAATATTGTTGCTTTAATCCTCCTAGGATAGTCCTAAACCTGAATTATAACAATGAAAATACTCAGAAGGCTTTTAAATGGCGGAAAAAAACCACTACTCCTCTTTTGATAGAATACTTTATTGAAGAAAACCCTCTCTGAAAATCTCACAAAAGATTATCTATATAGAAATGTTTGATAGAATCTTTTCCAGGGACAGTAAATATGTTTCATGTAAATATGTGAAATCCTTTGATTCTGATATAGATAATCCCAATTTTGCACTTCTGTTAGAATTTCCTTTTGGGAATACATTGTGTTTGTTTTTGGTAAATATTATATTGGTGCCTGCATTAATGGTAGAAAACAGGAAAATACAAGACAGGTCAAGGACAATTGTGTGAGAAAATAGATACAGATTAAAATCTTTGGCCTGTTGAGTGGTTTAATATATGTTTAGTATTCTGTATTTTCTGCCTTCAAAATGAGCTCAAGATAGTTTTCTCATAGAAATAAACTTTAGTAATGTTGTTGGATTGAGACATCGAAATTGGTCCCAGCTTCCTTTACAAGGTACTTTTTTTGTTTTTTGTTTTTTTTGTTACTGGTGATCAAACTCAGAACCTTGTGCTTGCAAGGCAGGCAATGGAACCACTGAGCTAAATCCCTGGCCCTAGGTGCTTTATTTTTTGAAACTGGTTTTATTAAAAATTCCAAATATCATGATATTTTTCTACTCACTTTCCTACTTTGTGTCAGCTAGCCTAATTATTTTTTATAATTTTTAAATTTAAACAGTATAGAAAGCAATCTTAGCATGTGAATCTTTATGCATTTGACAACAGTTGTCTCAAAAATGGTAAACCCAAAGATGCCACTTTTATGTTTTTGTTTTTTTTTTTTGGTACTGGGGATCGAACTTGGGTCCTTGTGCTTGAGAGGCAGGCAGCAGAACCACTGAGCTAAACCCCCAGCCTGATGCCATTTTTATGTAACTGAACACCTTGGTTCTCCCTATAATTATCTAAGATTTTATTGCATCTTTTAATTATCTGGAATTTATTTACGAGCACACACATGGCAGATATAAAAGATAGTAAAGAAATAACATTTGTTTCTTCCCAACACTAATGAGGAATCTTAATTTTGACAGCCATGGACAGCATTTATTGCTTTTACTCTGTGGAAGAAGAAATGTATGGAAAGTAAGTAAATTAAAATATGAAACAAAACCCTTAAGTGCTTAATATGTGTGTGTTTAAAGTATAAGTGTGAATTTACCTTTTGTGTTTCACATGTTTTTGTAGCAAGAACTTGATTTGTCATTCAAAGTGTCCAAAGGAGACACAAAATGGGAAGGCAAAGCTTATCTTCCATGGAATTATTTTCCACCAAATGTGACAAAATTCAATTCATATGCAATTCATGGATCAAAAGATAAAAGAAGTTATGAAGCCCTCTACCCTGTACCACAGCATGAACTGCAACAAGGACAAAAACCTGATTTGTAAGTAGAGGTTTTTTTAAAAAAATTAATTCATGGTAGAGCAGTAGTAACATTTTTTGGTCAAAGAAGATAACATATGTGTACAAGCACCTAGTAGGATCCTATTGTCACATCCAGAATGAGAGTGGCTGCTCTGCGGTGTAAGCAGCAAACTGGGATTGTAAACTCAGCACTTGGTAGTCAATTAAAGGGACTAAGTATAAGAAAAGAAAGACACTTTATTTGTAAGGAGGAAAAAGCAGAAGAGAGAAAGCTGGCCTAAAAAGGGTCATGGGCTTCCAGAAAGATGGAAAACACATGGGCCTTTTCCCTGGCTTCTTTTATTGGGTGCCCAGGCCCCTTCCCTGTACCTGGAATTTGCCATAACCTAATGGGCTCCCTGGTCTGCCCTTGGATTAAACTGGGCCCTTGTGTTAATTACTTTTCTCTTGCTGAGACAAAATACCCGACACCCAAAGTTAGAAGAGGAAAGGTTTATTTGGCTTACAGTTTGTAGAGGTTTCAGTCGATAGTTGCCTGGCTCTGAGGCAGAGTGGCACATGGCAGAGGCATGTTGCAGAGGTGAAACAGTTTATGGTGCCCACAAGGTAGCAGAAGCAACAAGAGACCTTAAGGGCATTCTCCTCTCCCTTTTTTCTTATCTAGACTACTTAAGGTAGGTAGCACTCACACCCTTAATCCTAGTGCCTTTGAACGTAGCACTGTACTATGAATCAATTCCAGCATCACATACTCTAGATCCAGCCACCTCTCAAAAACTCCTACCTCATTTGCATGAGGCTTTGGGGGACATCTAAACACAAGCCATAACAGCCCCCTTGCCTATGTATCCATTTCTTTTAGTGGGCATTGTGTAACTTCTTTCTGCCTATTTGTTTGTTTGTCCTTGACAGGGCCTTATCTCCAGGATGAGCAGCTGGTTTAATGGGATGTGTGTGCGTCTACTGTAGTGATATAGTGACCCTAGGTGGTGCCTCGGTTTCTGAACTTAATTTGTTTTATGATTTTGGGGAAGATGGCTGTGTTTGTGTTTGTGTAGGGAAGATAGCTATGGTCTTGTTTGTCACCCAATGTGGAGTTTGTGACAAAAGCAAAGTTTTGCCAAACACAAAATTTGAGAACGGAATTGTTTGCAAACAGAAGACTTGTGAATCAAGGTGTTACTGAACATATCTATATCATCTATCTATCTGTATGTACATGTTATATATATATATGTAAGTGCATAGGTGTGAGTATATATTTCTATACACTGAACAAGAGTCTTTCCCATGAGTATCCCCTTCCCCTTCTGTCTCCCTTGGATTCTATTGGAGGTGGGAAGGGATGGCTATCTTGGCTTCTTGGCTTTATACATTTGGCTCTCTCTTTGCTCTGCCTGTTAGCTTTCTTTCTCTGTTAACTTCCAGTTCCACCTGTGCTTTCTTCTGCCTTTATCTGGTTTTCTTTTCTCTCTCTCCACCCTTGTCCTCTAGACTGTTTCCAAGGGAATTTCTCTAGTAGAGTTTTAACTCCTTCTAGTCAAGATTAGCCAGAACACCTAGTGAGCCCCTAATTCTATTTTCTCCCTGCCTACAGACCTCTCCCCCTACACTGTGTTCCCTGATGGTCCTAAGTAAATAAGGATTAATTTTGGGCTGATATAGTCTTTCTCATTACTGTCAGTAATAGTTTTCCATAGTAGTAACATGAAAAAAATCTTGCTAAGTGAGTGTTGCATCAGCTGACATAGAAATGTGGCTTTAGATTCATTTATGATCCCTTTCAAAGTTAAATGTCCTGAGGAATCACTGTTGTTTCCTGGTGTGAGAAAAGAGTTCATGCTTTTTCTTTCTGCAGGAAAATCTATACATCAGTTCTCTTTTCTAGTTCTCTTGGTAACCTCATAAGAATAGGAATGTCAACTATACTACAGGGTAACATTGCTTAGATAAAAATGGCCCCAGATTAGTAAATTACATCTGGGCTGAGAGTAATTTTGAGTGACTATAAATATATGATGAGACAGCTGGCTTTAGAGATCCCTTTTGACAATCATTTTCCTTGTGGGGACCCAGGAGTTACTACAAGAGATTAGGCTCCTGTGAGGCAGCAGGCATTTCAACCAAGGCATCTTCAACACTTTTCCTATTTGAATCTTGTCTCCTTGCACCTGAAGCTGTCGCCTAGTGAAAATACAGCTCCTGATTAGCTTTATGAGTGTTCATGGGCTGTTGCAAAGACCACTCCCTTAGGAAGGAAAGCCACATACTGGCCTGGGCAATCTGTGATTCCTGCTCTAACTCTCTGAGTATGTCCAAGACAATCTGATGAGTCTGAGTGTTTAGAACAGCCTAACAGAGATGTCCTAGTGGTCATCACACTAGAGTATCCTGACCATCCTGCCTTTTTACCTTAGGATATGCTACACCATCCTTCCTCTCCATTTGCCTTCCTGTCATGCTCTTCTTGTGCTCTACTTTGCCTTTATCTCTTCTAGTGTATTTCTTTATCCTGCTTGACATACTTTTACCTCTGACCTGTGCTTTTCTTGCCAGTCTGACTCTCTCTACCTAGTCTCTTTTTCTTTTTCTTTCTCTTACGCTTTACTGTTGTTTCTTTAACTCTTAACTCCGGGATTGATAGTTGTAATTCTAAAACTAGTTCATCCTAGGAAAGAGATGGGAATCTAGTTGCAACTGACTTAGCCTTTAAACCCAGTTGTTATATCTCTCTGGCTCTTCACCAGCTAACTAACCTATAGTTAGTAACTAACCGGCTAACTCCCTATAGTCTGGTTCCCCATTTATACATTATTGAAGGATTACCTCATATAGTAGTGTGAGTATACACTGGCCAGGGCACCACTGGGACACAGTGATTTTCTCTGAAGCTGGGTTTCATTGCAGCATGTTAGCTAGGCTTTCTCTCCTCATTAAGCTACAAGAGAAAGCTTCATAACAGTTAACTGGTTTCTCTGAAAAGAAAAGAACTAAGATTAACATTTTTTTCTTGTGGTACCAGGGATTGAACCCAGGACCTCACACTGAACTACCTCTCCAGCCTACCTCCCAACTCTTTTCTTGAATAATTTAATTTAATTCTTGGTACCGGTGAATGAACCTAGGGTCTTCACACTGGCTACTTCCCCGGCCCTTTTTATTTTTTAATTTTGAAGCAAGACCTCATTAAGTTGCTAAATTTCCCAGGCTGCTGGCTTTTTAAAAATTTTGAGACTGAGTCTCACTAAGTTGTCCGGGCTGGCCTCAAACTTGTGATCCTCCTGCTTGAGCTTCTCAGGTAACTGGGAGTATAATCATGTACCATTGTTCCCAGTGGATTAACACTCAAATACATTAGCCTCTCTTGCTTTAATTAAGAAGAGGAATAAGTCTGTCCTTTAATATGGAGCTGAAACTTTTAAAAACAATTTCTTATATGACTGATATAAATTATATCAACATTTGAATATAAATGTAAAAGTACAGTATTATATGCTTCTTTAAAGCTAGATGGAATGAGGGTTAATTTTTATTTCTCCCTTAGCTGTGAGGGAGCTGAGAATTGAAAGAAAAAGGCTTAGAGATGTGGGTAAATGTTTTCAGATCTTAGTGTTTGAGAAAATTGTACATAAAGAATACATCTTACCTTTGGGATTTCTTAAAACAGAATGTTGTCCTATCACAAATGTGACAAAAGAAATAGCCCTTCAGAACCACTATTTCACATATGCATAATTCATTTCAATTCCCACCTTCCTATTTTTTTTTTCTCTTTTAGCCATCGTCTAGAATATTTCAAGCCCTTCAGCTTTAACACACTGCTTGGAGAAGAATGGAAACAACCAGAATCAGATCTGTGGCTAATAGAGAAATATGACTTATAGGAATATAATGGATAACAATATAAATAATTTTTCCTCTGTACCTTTTAAGGTAAACCAGTAAGTGTAATCTCTTAAGACACATTTCAACAACAAATATCTTCATAGAGGTCACAGAAAATACAGTGTATATCTCTGCAGCAAATTGTTTGATTAATAAGAAAATAGAAAGTAAAGTTACAGTTTTTCTCAGGGTCATTAGTCTAGGACCCATGGTTTCAGTGGGTTCTACTTTCTGCCTTGTGTCACCACCAACCCAAATATCCCTTCCTCTGTCACCAAAATCATTACTTGTCTCCGCACTTCATTAAAGTTCAGCTAGCCTAAGACTCAGAAATCTTATGTTCACAATTTTAAACTCCTTGTAATATCCAGTAATTTTTTTTATCATGAATTTTCTATCCACTCTTATAATTAGAAAAATGTGACCTATTTCAGTGGAACAGGAGATCCATATATATTTAGACTTCATTAAGATAGATGCAATATTTAGCCAGCTGGTTTTCCTATCTTGTGACTATTTTTTTACTCTGTAGAAAAAAATGAAGTACTCTTAAATTCAGGCAATAGACTCTGCTTTCATTTACAAATAAATAACTTGTTGTTAATGCTATTAAACAAGATGTCAAAATGTCTTCATTTTATTTTGTAAGCACCAAACGTTCTTGATCTCAAATTTTCAAATTTCCTTTTATCTCAAAGTTTAAAGCCTTCTTGTAGATCATTTATGATTTACAACTTCACCACCAACTGGTCTTTCTCCAGCATTCTTAACTCAGAGACCAGCAGTCTTGCAGAAGACGAAGTTTCATTCATTGTGCAGACACCTAGTTGCCTACTCAGCAGTACACTTTTGCTTCATCTTTACTAACAGAAATTGAATTAGTAGAAGCTTTGCTTAGAAGCTAAATTTTCCTCAAAACAATATAAACTACTACTTGTGAGGCAGGCATGGCCCCACTGAGATAAATCCCCTACATTTGGTATTATTATAATTTGTAGAAAATCCAAACAAATATGCAATGAATTCTATAATAAAATTAACAAAGTTGCAGGACATAGGGCAACATATAAAGATAAGTCAATTATATTTCAACATATTATAAGCAAACAATGTAAATTCAAAGTAATTTATAATAGAGCAAAGTATAAAATAACCAGGATTAAAATTAACCAAATTTCCAAAGCCTCTCATTAACTCTGTCTATTCATTTATTAAATATGATTTTATATGAAAAAAAGCTGGGTTCTTTCAGATTGTATGCAGTCCATTAATTTTGGAATATAATTTTTATAATCACTCTGAAAGTTTTTTTTTTTTTTTTGGTACTGGGGATCGAACTCGGGTCCTTCCGCTTGCAAGGCAGGTAGCAGAACCACTGAGCTAATGTCCCAGCCCAACTCTGAAAGCATTTTAAAATACTTAAATGTAAGAGATAGCACTTGATCAAGGCTATTTGGAGTCCTATATGCCTCACTTATCTGTATGTCAAGCTCTTTTCCCCTGCTTGGGAAGTTTTCTGCCATTATTTCTGTG